TTGATGAAACTTCACCGCTAGTTTGCATTACTAAGGACTTCTCTTCATTCTCTAAGGTAAATTTTAGTTTTCTTCTCACTTTTTTCTACCTTGGCTGCACGTTTAAGTATGGTGGAAAGCATGGAAAAAATTTGCTTAAGATGATGATTAAGCTTGTGGTTGTTAAGGAATTGAAAATCTAGTGATTAAAGGATGAATTCTTGGTTATTGGATTTTGTTTCTAGCAATTCTTAGTTATCGAGAATTTTTGTGAGAATATGGATGAAACCATAGAATCATGATGTATTTTTAATGAGAAAGAATGTGGTTTGTGTTTAAAGGTGGAAACTACGGATAAAACGAGCTATGGTTAGCTCGGGAAACACGAGAAATCAGGCGGAACTCTGCCGAAATTTAGTTTGAGGCTTTGAGTTAGAACCGGTTTTCATAAGGAATAGGAGGATTAAGATGTGAAAAGTAAGTTGATTTGTGATATGAAAATCACAAGCGTACGAATCACACAAGTAATATAATGAGTGAATAAGATATTGTTCCCACAAAGACTAGCTTAACAATTACTGAAATTGATATTTTTAACTTTATCTAGACAAATCAAATCTCAAAAAAAGATTAAAACTGAAAAGACAGCAAAATAAATTAACACAAATTATACGCAAAATAATTATGAAAAGAGATCAATGCAAAGAAAACACTAGAGCATAAAGTTTCACCAAGACAATTCCTATTCAATTCTAATTATTCGCTAACATCGCCTCCCAATCATGTAGTAGAATGAAAAATCCTAATTTATCTAATAGTCCTTCTGGGGATGCTATTAAAAATATTTCTAACATGTAAATTCACTATCGCTAGATGTGAATCCCATCATCCAAGAAATTCATTAAGTTCTGTAATTTTTCTAAAATTCCTCTCGCAAAAACTATTCCTAAAAATCTCATTCTGGGGTTTCAATTTAGGTTTTCAATTCAATTCAATAAGTGATCAGTTTATTGAAAGCAATAAGAACAATAAAAGAAACACATTCATGAATGGAAAACTCTTAGTGAATAAACTTCATTGAAAGAAAATAAATGAAATCAAATATTCATGTCTTGGCTACACTTGTAGCCCTAGTCTAAAAATTTAGAACATAATTGAAAAAAAAAACATAATAACAATAATAATTAACATAAGAAATTCAGGAAAGAATAAAACTGTTTTGCGAATTTGAAGTTGAACTCCGTTCTTGAACGAATCCTCCTCTCCTTCGTAGAGTCGTCTTCTCTCCTTCTTTTCTTAGCCAAAAGATACTAGAAAATAACCCTAAAAATCCTATTTATAGTGTTTGGAATCGTAGTGGCTTTTTTGTAAACTTTTGGAACTCAACTGAACTCAAGTCGGCAAAATCTTCAAAGTAGCGCCGTGGAGCTGAATTAAAAGATGCAAAATATACGCCTTGCTTCGAAGTAGCGTCGTGGCTCTGGTTTTGGGCGTCGCGACGCTGAGTGGAGATGTTCTTCACTGCGTAAAATAGCCTAATGGCTCAACTGCACAAAGCCTAGGCTCTTTTCTCTCGGGTTTTTGTACTGTAATTGGACTATTTCAGAGCCTAGGCGCCGTCTTTCAAGGCCGCGGCTCTCCAATATCAATTTAGCTCCAAGAATTACTCCAACACTCGCCTACGAACTCCAAATGATGCTAATCTGCAAAACTAATTAAAATTACATAAATTCGCTATTAAAATTACTCTAAAACCAACATAACACTCAATTAAAAGTATCCAAAAATAAGCATAAATCCAATATATCAAATACCCCCAAACTTGAGATTTTGCTACTCCTCGAGCAAAAGAAAAGTAAAGAAAGGAAAATAAAGAAATTAATCCTCAAAGCATTAAAAGAATCAAAGTACCAGTGACAACTTGTTGATGATTTGACAATCTTGCCTAAGAGATTCCACATAGTTAGTAGCTCAAGAGAAGCTTCAGAAATCATATTCTATGCAGAATTTCAATCCTAATGCCAATTTATACCTCACTTAAGGCTCCATGAGTGTGTATGTGTATAAAGTTTTTCGCTGTCAACCATCCGTACCTGGATCAGTTTATGCAACCCAAGTTCTTTAAAAATGGATCTCTTAGTTGAGAATGTTTAGAGTTCCATAGGATGGTTTTTGAAATCACTCTCCACTAATGTAGAGCGAATACCATACCAAAGATCATTAAGACTTTATTCGACTTGTAACGTGAGGCTTGGGTTCAAGTTAGGATGATGGATACTATTTTTGGCTTAAGTCACTCACGTGCACACAATCATTCCATGTTCTTTTCATGAGCTTCTTCAATTCTCCTTAATTCCCCCAAACTTGGTTTCGAACCTCCATTTGTAACCCACTTTATTCATCATTAATTTTTCTTTTCTTTTTTTTTTTCACACCCCCAAACTTATTTCTTTACTTGAGCGCACAAAGTGGGGTGTCTAAGTTGTCATCTTCTTCTTCCAAGCTCCTCCCATCCTCCCAAAATTGTAATGTAGCTCTAAATATTTTTCTCTAATGATCATATGCACATAAGTGAAGCGTCAAATGAGGGAGTATTAGTTAAAGCTAGGTCCAATTACAGGTGACAAAGAAAAAGGTCAAAATAAGCTCAAAAGGGGTACTAGGGATATGTATTATGCACGGGTTGGCTTGAAAGGCTCAAACGATCGAAAAATGGCCTAAATCTCTTCCCTAATATGGTGTGTCCTAGGATTTCACCTCAAGTGACAATCAAACCGGTTCTAGAATTCTTGTGAGATCAAAGAGTTTGCTTAGGTCACATAATCTTTCTCCAAGTAAGCAAAATGATTAACAAATTTAAGCTAGTGCTCAGAATGTTATAGAGTCCCAGGCAAAGCAAGAATTAGCAAAGAGGATCAAGCACACACACCAAATACAATATTCATCAATTTCTCCCAAGCTAGAAGCAATCAAAACCAATCTCATCATCGGCCTTGGTGTTGTCACTTTTACTTCTTTTTTTTTAAGAAATAAACAATAAAATGAATGAATGGATGAAAAAAATAAAACACTAAACTCAACTAACCTATTCTACGAATGAAAGAAACAATCCCCCCAAACTTAAATAGAAACATTGTCCTCAATGTTGTAATAAAGAGAATAGAAGCGCAGAGGACGTACCTTGGCGAGGGCCACATCAAGCGCCCTCGCCATCATCATCATCGTGACCGGCGGCTGGTGGGTGATGAGTAAATATCGGCTCCGGGGATAGCCAAGGGTCAGAGAATTCTTTTTTTGGGTCTTCAAACTTGGGCATTCTTCCTTGACGGTATTGTGATGTAATTGCTACATTCTCATTGCTAACTTTATCCGGTTCCTTCTTAGGGGGGATCCCGCATGCTTTATCTTGCCTTTTAAATTGCTTTGGAACCTGGACCGAGTTCTTTTCGCACATTGTCTTCTTTATGTTATCCATCGGGCAACAAGTCTCAGATTCCTGTGGACCCTTGAGTGGACTGAACACATTGAAAGTTACTTTCTCATTTTCTACTTCTAGACTCAATTCTCCTTTCAAAACATTAATCACAACATTTCCGGTAGCTAAGAATGGTCGTCCTATGAGTAAAGGAATATCTTGCTCTTCTTCCATATCAAGCACAATGAAATTAGTCAGGAATATCAATTTGTCCACTTTTAATAACACATCTTCTAAAATGCCCCATGAATACTTGATGGAATGATCGGCCATTTGGAGTAGCATAGTTGTGGGCTTTGGTTCTCCTAAGCCCAATCTCTGAATGACTAACAATGGCATGAGGTTTACACTTGCTCTAAGGTCATATAATGCTTTTCCAAAATAGGAATTACCAATAGTGCAAGGAATGGTAAAACTACCCGGATTTTTTAACTTTGGTGGCACCTTCCTTTGAATGATGGCACTACACTCCTCAGTCAATGCGACTGTTTCAAAATTCTCTAACTTCCTCTTGTTAGAGAGGATGTCCTTCATGAACTTCACATACATTGGCATTTAAGCTAAGGCCTCTGCAAAGGGGATGTTGATGTGGAGCTTCTTAAACACTTCTAAGAATTTGGCAAATTGCTTATCCAAATTCTTCTTCTGCAATCTTTGCAGAAACAGAATTCTTGGCTCATGTGTTTCTACTGGCAAATCTTGCTTTTCAATCTCCTCCCCTACATTCCCACTTGCATCTTCATCGTCAGTCAGTTGCTTCTTTTCTATACTCGACCTTAGTGGTGGATCTTGTAGTTGCAAACCACTCTTTGTAAAAATAGCCTTGCACTGCTCTTTAGGATTAGGAATGGTATCACTTGGAAGAGAGCCTTGTTGCCTTGAAGAACTGGAACTTGCCAATTGGCCCATTTGCACTTCTAAGTTTCGGATTGCTACTGCTTGACTACTCAACAAGGTGTCTGTCCTAGCCATGTATTGCTTAGTCTCATCCTTGTGTTGTTTAGTAGTCATCATGAACTGAGAATACATCTCTTCCAACGAACTCTTCTCTTCTTGTTGCACAAACCGTGGAGGTGGATTCAAGACATTCTGAGTGTTCCTGTAAGAGAAATTTGGAGGATTCTTAGAACTAGGGTGATAGGTGTTTGAATTTGGGTTCCATTGCTGCCTATTGAAATTCCCCATGTAAATAGCTTGCTCTGTCACAGACAAACAACTCCCATTTTCATGATTGGCTCCGCAATATTCGTAACAAGAAGTTGGAATATGCACCGAATTCACCTCTCTATTGTCCAGTTTCTTCATCAAAGCATCCATTTAGCTCGTCAGAGCCGTCAAAGCATCAACCTCAAGTATCCCTGTAGTTTTTCTCACCATAGTTTGCTCCTTCGAATACTTGTAATCATTTGCAGCCATCTCATCTAGAAGATTAAAAGCCTCATCCACAGTCTTTCTCATCAATGCACCTCCTCCAGCAACATCCACTAATTGTGCATTGCTCAAATCTAGACCGTTGTAGAAGTACTGAATCTACATCCATTTTTGCACCTCATGATGAGGACATCTCCTGCACAACTCTTGAAATCTCTCCCAAGCTTCTGATAAAGTCTCCCTATCATGTTGCACAAAATTAGAAATTTCATTTCTCATCTGAATGGTCTTGGATGGAGGAAAATACTTAGCCAAGAACTTCTGAGCAAGATCATTCCTAGTGGTGAAGTGATTTGAAAGATGAGAATAAAGCCAACTCTAAGCCTTGTCACTGAGAGAAAAGCTAAACAGTCTCAATCTTATAGCATCCTCTAAGACTCCATTGAACTTCATGGTATCACACAATTACAAGAAATGTGCGATATTAGCATTAGGATCTTCACTAGGAAAACCCCCAAACTGACAAGAGTTTTGAATCATGGAGATGATCGCCGACTTCAATTCAAAGTTGTTGGCTTGAATAGCCGGACTCGTAATGCTCGACAGTATCCCGGTAACATCGGAGGTAGAATAATCCCCCACAGCCTTAGTGTCAGGTTCTCTTTCTACCATATCAACGATCATAAGCTTTTCTTTCTTCTTTTCCCACTTACGTCTTCTGAAAGTCTGCTTAATCTCAGGATCAAAGACTTCAAGACTTTTAGATCATAGCATGCACTATAAGACACCTGACAATTTGTAAGAAAATAAAATAACGTAAGAGTCTAAATTAAAATTAAAAATACTTGGTATCAATATTATTAATGCCAGTCCCCGGCAACGACGCCAAAAACTTAATGTGAAAATCACAAGCGTATGAATTGCACAAGTAATATAATGAGTGAATAAGATATCGTTCCCACGGAGACTGGCTTAACAATTACTGAAATTGATATTTTTAACTTTATCTAGACAAATAAAATCTCTATAAAAGATTAAAACTGAAAAGAAAGCAAAATAAATTAACACAAATTATACGCAAAATAATTATGAAAAGAGACCAATGCAAAGAAAACGCTAGAACATACAAGTTTCACCAAGACAATTCCTATTCAATTCCAATTATTCGCTAATATTGCCTCTCATTCATGTAGTAGAACGAAAAATCCTAATTTATCTAATAGTTCTTCTGGGGATGCTATTAAAAATATTTCTAACATGTAAATTCACTATCACTAGATGTGAATCCCACCATCCTAGAAATTCATTAAGTTCTTTGATTTTTCTAAAATTACTCTCACAAGTCGTATTACTATCTCTCGATATCCTACGCACCTTATGGCTCCTTTTATTAGAAACTATTCCTAAAAATCTCCTTTTGGGGTTTCAATTTAGGTTTTCAATTCAATTCAATAAGTGATCAGTTTATTGAAAGCATTAAGAACAATAAAAGAAACACATTCATGAATGGAAAACTCTTAGTGAATAAACTTCATTGAAAGAAAATAAATGAAATCAAATATTCATGTCTTGGCTACACTTGTAGCCTTAGTCTAGAAATTTAGAACATAATTGAAAAAGAAAATATAATAACAATAATAATTAACATAAGAAATTCACGAAAGAATAAAACTGTTTGGCGAATTTGAAGTTGAACTCCGTTCTTGAACAAATCCTCCTCTCCTTCCTAGAGTCGTCTTCTCTCCCTCTTCTCTTAGCCAAAAGATACTAGAAAATAACCCTAAAATCCTATTTATAGTATTTGGAATCGTAGTACCATTTTTGTAAATTTTTGGAACTCAAATGAACTCAAGTCAGCAAAATCTTTGAAGTAGCGCCACGGCCCTACTATTTGGACGCCGCGGCGCTGAATTGAAAGATGCCAAATATACACCTTCCTTCAAAGTAGTGTCGCGGCTCTGGTTTTGGGTGTTGTGGCGCTGAGCAAAGATGTTCTTCACTGCATAAAATAGCGCCATAGCTCGACTATACAAAGCCTAAGCTCTCTTCTCTCGGGTTTTTGTACTGCAACTGGACTATTTCAGAGCCTAGGTGCCATCTTTCAAGGCCGCGGCTCTCCAATATCAATTTAGGTCCAAGAATTACTCCAATACTTGCCTACGAACTCCGAATGATGCTAATATACAAAACCAATTAAAATCACATAAATTTGCTATTAAAATTACTCTAAAACCAACATAACACTCAATTAGAAGTATCCAAAAATAAGAATAAATCCAATATATCAATTTGATGATCGGAGATGTATAGAAACCTAAAACAATGAAAATTCTCACTTTCGGATCAAAACTGAAAACTAGGTTATTAACCCGAAAATTGAATCTGTCGCTGTTTTGGGCTAGAAAACTAAGATAAAAGATTAGTTTCAAAAAGTGACCAACACAAAGTTGAAGGAATTTCATTCTAAACAACTTTTGTGGAATAGCATTTTTTTAAAAAAAATGATCCTAGACATCAGTTTCAGACTCATTTCTGAAACAAGTCGAAAATGTGATTTAAGGTAAAAAGTGCACGGGTTTTGTTTACATTTATGATATCGGTGATGTTTCGATCCGGCTATTGATCATGAAATCATAGATCTCTTTAAGGATTTTAGAAACAACATACACACTTTAAGAAAATAACATTTATGATACCATGAATTCGGATCAAATTGTGTTTTAATTACTGATCTTAGATTGTAAATCTAATTATTAGAAATTTATATGTTAGGACCAATAGGTGATCAAGGAAGCAAGGTTTCCGGAGACTCAAAGGCTGTGACATTAACGGAAATCTTGTAAGTACAGTAGTTTTTCTATGTCTATACCACGAACAAGACTATTTCCTTATATAGCACAAAATTGTGCATATGATGATTTCATTGTACATCACTAAGTGAAAGATGTTACTTGAAACTTGTTTGTTGCTTTGAATGTGCTTATGGACTTGTATTAGCAGTAGAATTTTAAGCTACGATAAAGTCAAAGTCAAAGTTAACAAAAGTCAAACATTTGAATAAAATCTAATTTCTTAGGAAATTGGTAAGAATGCTCAAAGGTGTACCATTATGACTAAAATTACTGTCATAATATGAAAAAAAATGACAGTAAGATGAAAAGATTAAAATTAATATCATACTATGAAATGATGCCAGTAAGATAATGAGTAAATAAAGATGGCAAACGATAAGAAGTTAATAACACTGTTTGTACCGGCCTTCGCAAGGAAATGTTATTATGATTATGAATGAAATGAAACCGTGAGTGAGTTGGCTTTGGTTAGCTACCCCACTCCTCACTGGTTATGCACGCAACGATATAACAGGATGGGGCCCATAAGCAGTAAAAGTTATGAAAAATGAACGACGCAAAAACAAAAGATGTTAAGAAGTATGAAACGAAAGAAAAAGAGAGCATCATACGAAAGAAAAGAAAGCATAATATGATGAACACTTTGAATGTTTAAGAAGCGTGTTAGAACGTATGATATGAATGCATATATGGGTGTGCATTATTGTTTGTATTTATTATAGCTTACTGTTACTTGATGAGTGAAAGCTCATTAAGTTTGTCCGTGTTGTACGAAGCTCGGGTAAGACACCGGCTCCCTGAAACATGTTTGTTGGGTGTGCGGAAAAGGATACAGTAGTGGGATGTGGGCAAGTGGGTAGTGGATGCATCACATGTTTTGAAAACACTGCTAAACAATATGTGTATAAAGTAAATAATGTTTTATAAATGTAGACGAGTTATGTAATGAAAGTAAAGTATACGAGACAATGAGGCTATGCATAGCAACCTCAAGTCACAAGGTATGTTTAATGTATCTAAAATGTTGTAGCATTATTGGCATGCATAGCAAAAATGCTATTGCATTAAGGGCATATGAATGATAATGGTATGCGAATGATAGGTTAAATACATGACCACAAGTAAGGAAGACAAGTTCAAGGTTTAAAAAGAAAAGTTGAAAATGTTTTCAGGATAGTAATTTTTGATATTCGAGTTTAATAAAAATCATTGCACGAAGTTTTATTCCACTAAAGATTATTAGAATCAATTTTACTATTGAGGGAAAAAAATTAGCCTGAATTTTTAAGAGGTTAAAATTAGAAAGTAGTAAAAGATAGGAAATGCTAAGTATGAACGTAGAAATGATGACCGAAAATTAAGGGTCGTCACATTTTTAACATAAGTAGACTAGTTGATCTACATGTTATATACGCGAAGAATAATTTTGTAAATTTGATCCAACGTTAAAACACGTAATCTCATTAGAGGTCAAGTTCATTAATTGGAATAAGGGAAAAAAAGTATTTAAAAAATATATAGAAAAAAAAATAAAGTTATATAGGAGTTTTGGACAAGAAAAAAAAAACTTAAGTGAAGATATATATGAAAGGTATTGTTGTAATTAAAAGAAAGTTAGAAAAAAGAAAATAAGGATATTGTAAAAAAAAATAACTTGCCAAAAAGTATGAGGGAAAAAAGTAAAAAATAACAATAAGCAAAAGAAAAAAAATAGAAAATGTTAAAAAAAAGAAGAAAGAGAAAAAGTTTTTTTTAAAAAAAAATTAAAGTTATATATGAGTTTAAAAAAAACCTTAAATAGAGGCATTTTTAAAAGGAATTATTTTAATCAAGAGAGAGTGAAAAAAAAAAAAAGAAAATGAACTATCTATGAATATTACGGGAAAAACAAAACCGCCAATAGGAAAAAGAAAAGTTAAAAGGAGAAAAGAAGAAAATTATTAAAAAAAAAAGAACAAAAAAAGGGGGAGGCCATCATCTTTTAGATATGTTAGATTATAAAAAATTAAAAAATTAAAAAAAAAAAAAAGAAGAAGAAGAAGAGAGAGAGAAGTTTATTTTGCTGAAGTCAAACAACAAGAAGGCCTTTATTTTCCTTTGAAGTCAATTTTTGACAAAAGATGTTGTCTCCGACAATGATATATATGTCCTACAGGACCTCTCTTCTTTTCTTTTTTATTTTTTTTCCCTTGTTGCTGAAACTACGGACATTATCTGTAATGTATTATTATGTTCTTGAAGATGGAACACTTACAAATCCTTTGATGTTTGACTATTGACTCCATTTGCCCATTTCTCAGTTTCTTTTACAAAGCATCTCTTTCTTTTACCACTTTAGAGCTTTAAAGACCCCAAAAAAAAAAAAAGTTTGGACAGATCAACTACCATAGCTAAGGAGATTATCAAATCCGCAGAATCCGACCAGTCCA